GACGCGGCGCAGCTCTCAGGGATATCTTTTCATGATGTACGGTATGCCTATCGACTGGAAGGCGACACTCCAACGTTCCGTCACGAAATCGACCACCGAGGCAGAGCTGCTAGCTCTGTCGACAGCAGCCAGCGAGCTGCAGGCATGGAATCGACTGTTCAAGCACATCAAGCTCGACCTAGAGATGGTACCAACGATCTTCTGCGACAACCTGCAGACAGTAGGAGTTGTTACTAAGCACGAGGACAAGCTATTCACGCGTTTGCGTCATGTGGACGTCCACCAACATTGGCTCAGGCAGGAGGTGGCAGCTGGACGCATATCAGTTCAGTGGAAGCCAACTAACCTTATGCCAGCTGATGGACTCACCAAGATCCTTGTACGCCAGAAGCATGCTGAATTCGTCTGACAGCTTAGATTAAAAGACGTTGAGAACCACCTACTAGAGCCTAAAGGACATGATAACCCTGATTCGGCGAGCTTGACTCACTGGTATTAGGACGGTATTGGGCATGGTTATAGGGCAACGATCATGGATATAATATAGAACAGGAATAAGGGAGATCAGCTTTGGTTGGCACCTCAGCTGAGGGGGTGTGTAACCACGTGGGTGAAGTCACATGATATCTTGTTGTAGAAGGTACCGCCCAGTGGGCAAGTGCACTTACCTCAGAGCTGAGAGCTCCGTACACAAACATCACAACACGACAACAGATAGCAATACAATTGTTGATCCCAGCCTCCACCCGACACTGCACCAGGCAGTTACAAGTGTTCTAAGGTTGAGTACGTGCGCAAGGGTCAACAGAGTGCAGTAGTTGCAGTAGAGAGAGGACTGTTATTGTAGATCAAGGAATAAGTTTCAAGCAGGACGGAGACGACCTGCGCTAGGTAATAGATGAAGTGATCAAATCCGGCACAACACTTGCACGTGGACACGTTTATCTTCCATTCAGCACCATCTTCTTCAGCTCTAGGTGCACTTATGATCAGTTCATCGAGCCAGCAGCATAAACATGCAAAATTAGCATCCAAGGAACGTTGTCACGGGCAGAAGAGGCCTACTTAGCAGGCCTACTTTGAGGTACTAATGTATGTACATTTAGACACTGCGAGAACGACCAGCACTGTACACAATAGGGGCGACTGTACACTGCGAGGGTACCTGCTGGGACTGTAGCGAGCCTGAGAGATTTGCGAGAGACTTTTGGATCTTGGGGATGAGCTTACGATCTGGGCTTGTGAGGGAGGTGGCGTTCTCGACCCCTGAACGCGACCGAGAACGCGACCGGGAACGCGACCGCGACCGCGACACTCTGTCCTTGCCCTTTGAGCTACCAGCACCACGGAAGAGACGCCCAAGAAACACCATCGAGCAAGGCGGACGCTACCGCAGGCCACTGTCACAGCCAGAACTATCAGCCGACGACTCTGATACTATCCCAATTAAAAGCAGCCAGCCCAACCCTCAAACCAGGAGGAGCGCCACGACTAACAAAGACCTGCTCGTTGCCTTAACTAACATCATTTAGTAACAGACTGAGACTATCAGAAACCTTAAACGCGAAACTAAAGAGATCAGATAGAACCAACAGGCCATCATCGACCACAATGTCAAGCTTATTGACGAAGTCGCAGAGCTCAAAGCGCGCGTCGACGACCTTGCGGCAGCGGCATCCTCGGGTGCGCGTTCCTGGGCCGCGGTGGCGGGTGCGAGCGCCACTTCCGGAACGCCACCGAGTCAGCCACACGCTAGCAGACCTAACCTCGCTCCTGGCGACGTGCCCAACGTCACAGTAGACATCTCCAGAGCAGATGGCGAACATGGCAGGATGTCAGCGGGCACGGTCAGAGCAGCGGTGGAAAAGGAAATGCGCACGATGGAGAGTCACGGGAACTGGCGATGCCGGGCGGTCACTGCGGACCACGCCACCCAGAGCCGCATCAGGATCGCGTGTAGAGACGAAGACGAGCACGAGCTTGTCAAGAAAGCAGCAGAGAAGATCGGTGCAGGCTCGCGCGTGTTACGCGATGAGCTCTTCCCAGTCAATGTCGACAACGTGAAGAGAACTGCAGTGCTAAACGAGAAGGACGAAATCAGGGCAGGAGCCACAGAAGCTTTCGGCGGAGAGAACGGAACGACAGTTGCCAAGATCGCGTGGCTAAGTAAGAGGGATGTCCCGAAGGCGTATGGGTCTATGGTAGTGTACGTGACTAAGAAGAGCGATGCAAGGAGGCTTGTCGCAGAAGGCTACTTCCACGCTGGTGGAGAGTCTGGCACGACGAGCGCTTTCGAACACCGGCCACGGCCCGGGCAATGCTACAACTGCCAGGAGCTCGGCCACAAAGCGTATCAGTGCAGAAAGACGCAGAGATGCGGGCGATGCGCCAAAGACGGTCACCACCACAAGAGCTGCAGCGAAACAGTGATGAAGTGTGTGCTGTGTGGAGGACCGCACGAGTCGTTCAGCAGAAACTGTCGGATGCTCTACCCACCTTAGCATGAATAGAGCATTCCGCATGATCCAGCTCAATGTCAGAAAGCAAGGCGAAGTACACGACAGCCTGATGAACGACGAAGAGATGCAAGAAGTGACAGTAATAGCCATCCAGGAGCCGCACGCGCGGAGGATGCAAGGCCGGCTGCTGACAACGCCTATGCTCCATCACAAGTGGACCAAGATGGTGCCGTCGACCTGGCGAGAGGGGAGGTGGCCGATACGGAGCATGCTGTGGGTGAGCAGAGAAGTGGAGGCGGAGCAGGTGCGGATTGAGTCGCCGGACTTGACAGCAGCGATCACCCGGCTGCACGAGCGGCAGGTATTGGTGGTGTCGGTGTACATACCAGGAGGAGACCCGCAGGCGCTGCGAGACGCATGCAACAAGCTAGACGAGGCGATTGCGGAGGTTAGACAAAGGGCCAGCACAGTGGTGGACGTGGTGCTGGCTGGCGACTTCAACCAACACGACCAGCTGTGGGGAGGGGAGGATGTGACGATGGTCAGACAGGGCGAAGCAGACCCGATCATCGACCTGATGACAGAGCACGCACTCAGCAGTCTGCTCCCGCGCGGCACCAAGACGTGGCAAGGCGGAGACTACGAGACGACGATCGACTTGGTGCTAGCGTCGAGAGAGCTGACAGATGCAGTGACGAGATGCGCGATCCGTGCAACCGAACACGGCTCTGACCACCGGACGATCGAGACAGTCTTCGACAGCTCGGTGCCGGCGCCGTCGCAGCAGCAGCAGGAGCGGCTTCTGCTCAAGAACGCACCGTGGAAGGCAATCAGGGACAGGATCTCCAGGACGCTTGGTGCGACGCTGCCAGTGGGCACGACGCAGCAGCGAACGGACAGACTGATGGCGGCGGTGCTGGAGGCGGTGCACGCACTGACTCCCAGGGCTAGGCCATCACCATACGCGAAGAGATGGTGGACGCAAGACTTGACACAACTACGCCGCGTCTACACGCATTGGAGGAACCGAGCGAGAGCGGCAAGACGCTCAGGAGGTGCTAGGCCGGACCTGGAAGAGACGGCAAAGGGAGCGGCGAAGCAGTACCATAATGCCATTCGACAGCAGAAGAGAAAGCACTGGGATGACTTCCTAGCAGACAACGATAACATCTGGAACGCGGCCAAGTACCTAAAGACTGGTACCGAGGCGTTTGGGACAGTCCCAGGCCTTCGCAGAACGGACGGAACGACTACAACCGACCACGGGGAGCAAGCCGAGGAGCTGCTCAGCACTTTCTTCCCTCCGCTTCCCAGCCATATCGACGACGAAGGACACAGGCCGCAGCGAGCGCCTGTAGAAATGCCGACCATCACGCTCGAAGAGGTGGAACGGCAGCTGCACGCTGCAAAGTCATGGAAAGCACCTGGAGACGACGGACTGCCAGTCGTGGTGTGGAAGCAGATCTGGCCGGTGGTCAAAGACCATGTCCTTGCGCTGTTCCGACAGTCGCTAGAAGAGGGATTGCTGCCCAGCCAGTGGAGACACGCCAAGATTATCCCGCTTAAGAAGCCAGGCAAGGAAGACTACACCGCTGCAAAAGCCTGGAGACCGATCTCACTGCTTGCCACGCTGGGCAAAGTGCTGGAGTCAGTGGTGGCAGAGAGGATCTCGCACATGGTCGAGACGCACGGGTTGCTGCCCACCAACCACTTCAGAGCGCGCAAGCAACGATCAGCGGAGCAAGCGCTGGTGCTTCTCCAAGAACAAATCTACACCGCGTGGCGGGGCCGGCGGACAGTCAGCCTGATCAGCTTCGACGTCAAAGGAGCGTACAACGGAGTGTGCAAGGAGAGACTGCTGCAGAGAATGAAAGCGCGCGGCATACCAGAGAGGCTGTTGCGGTGGGTAGAAGCGTTCTGCTCACAGCGCACCGCATCGATCCAAGTCAACGGACAGGCGTCCGAGGTTCGAGAGCTGCCCCAGGCAGGTCTGCCGCAGGGGTCGCCTCTGTCTCCTATTTTGTTTCTCTTTTTCAATGCGGACCTGGTGCAACGACGCATCGACACATACGGTGGTGCGATCGCGTTCGTGGATGACTTCACTGCGTGGGTCACAGGGCCGACAGCGCAAAGCAACAGGGAGGGTATCGAAGCGATCATCAGAGACGCACTGGACTGGGAACAGAGAAGCGGGGCGACGTTCGAAGCAGAGAAGACGGCTGTTATCCACTTCACTCGCAAAGCATACAAGAGCGCTGCAGACCCCTTCGTCATCAAGGGGCAGAGCGTGTCGCCCAAGGACCACGTCAAGATACTCGGCGTGCTCATGGACGCCGGGCTCAAGTACCACAAGCACATCGCAAGAGCAGCCGCAAAGGGGCTGGAAGCAGCACTGGAGCTCAGGAGGCTGAGAGGGCTCTCGCCCACGGTGGCACGGCAGCTGTTCACGGCGGCCGTTGCGCCGACGGTAGACTACGCGTCAAACGTGTGGATGCACGCCTGCAAGGACAAACTCGCAAGGTCCATCAATAGAGTGCAGAGAATAGGAGCACGGGCAATCGTAGGGACGTTCGCCACGGTAGCGACATGGGTGGCAGAGGCAGAAGCGCACATCCTGAGCGCGCAAGAGCGATTCTGGAAGCGAGCAGTCAAGCTGTGGACTGACATTCACGCGTTGCCTGAGACCAACCCGCTGCGAAGAAACACGTCACGCATGCGCAAGTTCAGGAGACAGTACCGCTCGCCGCTCTACTAGGTGGCCGAGGCGCTCAAGGACATAGAGATGGAACAGATGGAGACGATCCGGCCATGCGTCTTGGCGCCATGGGAGAAGAGAGTGCAGGCGGTGACTGAGGATGCGGCGCAGAGGCTCGAGGCCAACTGGGCGGTACGCATTGCGGTAAGCAGTTCGTCGCGCAACGGAATAGTCGGGATGGGAGGTGCGATCAGCATACAGAACAACGAAACACTGTCATTCTCTACCACAATAGGCAAGAGAGAGGAGCAGAACCCGTACTCGGCAGAGCTGGCGGCAATGGCTGAAGCGCTGAGTAGGCTGCCAAAGCTCAGGTTTCGCAACATCGCACTGATAACAAGAAACAAAGCTGCCGTGCTTACGCTAAGAAGACCTCGACAGCAGTCAGGTCAAAACTACATCAGCCAGCTTTATAGGACCGTGCAAACACTGCGAAGAGATGGTAATACAGTGACAGCACTGTGGCTGCCTGCAAGCAAAGAGTGCGAGCTCGCACGCCTCGCCAAGCAGGAGGCAAAGACGTCAACGAGACCCAACGCCACGCCGCAGACACAGCTTCCTAGGATGCGATCGACCACACACAACATTGCACGCAAGCAAGGCAACGTCAAGAAGGTGCCGGAAAAAGTAGGAAACTACTCTAAGCGAATCGACAAGGCACTGCCAGGAAAGCACACACGACAACTGTACGACCAGCTATCGCAGAAAGAGAGCAGCGTGCTCGCGCAGCTAAGAAGAGGCATGGCACAGCTGAACACGTATCTACACCGAATCAAAGCTTGCGACACAGATCAGTGTGGATGTGGACAGGCGGCAGAGACAGTGGAGCACTTTCTGTTCCGATGCAGACGGTGGACAGCACAGCGAACAGAGATGCTGCAGTGCACGCAGACAGGCAGAGGAAACATGTCGCTCTACCTGGGCGGCAAGGCAGCGACAGACGACGCGAAGTGGGCGCCAGACATGGGCGCGGTGCGAGCAACGATTCGATTCGCAATGGCGACAGGAAGACTTGACGCAAATTGACGTCTGACGACTGGATAAACCTCACCTACTAACACAAACTCATCAATAACCTCGTGCAGCATAGAGCAGACAGCGCTTCAGCCGCCAAAGATAGGACGCTGAACACTTGGAGAGTCTCTTAGAGACGCCGACTCTGAGCCAGTCTGCCACCAACAATACTAACCTACGAGCGCCTGATGAGAGACAGTAGATAGAGAACAAGCGACCTAGATATAGAGCAAGGGCTTTAACTGGAACAACAAGTGGCATGGAGAAGCGAGTCAGGGAAGACACAGGGGCTAGTGAGGCCGCGATGTAGCATAAGCAGTGTAGTAGCAGATCATCATTAGTAGCCCTTTCGGCTCGGCCGCCGGGCGTAAATAAATTGTGTGTGTGTGTATGTACATTTTGCCTCCTTTTTGGCTGTTACAAATGTTAACAATTACGCACTGCTCTCAGCCGCTCAGATGGCATATTGCAATCAAAACGCTTTCACGCTTGCAAGCGGACTGCCGACACGTAAAAGAAAGCTCGAGTAACTCCACCGGCACTAAAGATGATAACATTCATTAGCTAAGCGTCCTTGAACCCGGTCACGCCAAATAAGGCTGAAAGGTTCACACAAGAATCTCAAGTCACAGAATGGTGTTTAGCAAGATCCTCATTGATCAAAAGTGGTCAATTGAAGTATGTACAGCAATCTCAGGATATTTACAGCAACTTGAAGAACGACATCACTTTCGCCATCATCGACAATTCTGACTCAGACACAACATGTCTACCGCTGGAGTGTAAGGACACCAGGGCGGTAAGGCAGAAGGTTGTAGTCGCTAGGTTGGTTGCTAGGATCGCGACCCTGGTAGACCAGCTGCAGGTTACAAGGGTCGACAGTGAAGGTCTGATCGGGGTTGGTGCGGTACAGGTCACCGTGGGAAATATCGTTGGTCCAGGTGGCACCGCTATTCGCCTTGCCGGCGAAAGGGTTCTGTTCAGAAGCAGCCTGAGGAGTCCAGTTCCCGCTGAGGCTGGTAGCGGTGAAGCTTCGGAAGTAGCGGCCGTTGGAACCAATGGCTTCGACGATCATGAGATACTTGGGGCCGGAGGTGGCACCCTGGAGAGTGTAAACCTGAACGGCCTCGAACAAATTGTTCCTGCTGTCAGTCATGACAACGGTGCTGGCGGTACCGAAGTTGCCAGGGAAGTTGCCAATGGGCATGCTAGCGCGATAGATACTGCCGTTGTCACCGGCGAAAAACAAGTACATATTCTGGGAGTCACCAATGATAGTCTGATCAATAGCGCCGGTATCTGAGTCAGAGACTGTGCCAGAGAAGAGAGGCTGAGCTGCACCCCAGCTGTTCGCGTTGGAGGGGTCGGTACTGGTGCGGTAGGAGAAGGTGGTAGGACCCCACTGGTACGCCAGAACCCAGACCTTCTTGGGCGAGAAGTAGAACAGAGTGGGCGCGACGGCGCTGAAACTGTGGGCGGTCTGGCTGGCCGAGGCCAGGTCGGACCAGTTGCTGACGAGGCCGAAGTTAAAAGAGCCGTACTTGCCAGCAGAGCTGGTGGTGGTGCCGTAGACGAGCTTCTTTCCATTGTACTGAACAGCAGTGAAGTCCTTGAGGGCAGCCCAGCCGTCCTTAGGGCTGGCAAGAGGTCCGGAAGACGTCCACTTGTAGCTGGAAGGAAGAGCGCACTGTGCGGAAACAGTGGCGGCGGAAGCCAGGGAGGCAAGGAGGATGTTGGTGAGATGCATCGTGAGTCGACGTCTGTGAAAGTGCTAAAAGTGTGTGAGCGAGTTGGGGTAGTGTCGATGCAATCAGTCCGCCAGAACGTGTTTAAATGGTGTCTCCTTGTCAACACTCATCCCGGAGCTCAGACACCTCGTCACGCCGACTTGTTACCCAAAGGGTAGAAGCTTATTGCTCCCACCGGTTGAACTAGTATAAATTTCTAGAACCGGCCCTGGCCCGTTGATCTTGAAACACCCCACAGATTGAAGCGGGGAAACAGACAGCAAAACGGGCTTCCCGCGCATGAAGGGTGAAGGCTCATTGATGCGACAAGGCATCCAATAATCATTTATCTGGTGCATTCCCCCGAATTCGTATATTTGGTTTTGTCTGCGCCCGTAGCAGAGAGTGACGAGCATGATTGTGGGGAATGAAGGCAACACTTTGCTCTGGATGTCGCAGAAGCTCCAACTTCAAGGGTGCACGCTACGTCTACTCAGCTTCTATGAGTTGTCATCCCAAGCGAGAGCGACCTATTCCGTGAAAAGACAGTACATTAGCAATGCTTTGTGCATCATGAAGTCACCTTTAATCAGGCGTTCGCGCCGAATGTCGTTCGGCGCCTCGTCGATGTGACACGTAGCGTTTGATGTTCCAGCAAACTATGCGCACCGACCGAAACGGGTACATTCTCCGCGCGACTATTTACAAATGCTGTAGGTACGGCTTCGTAAGATCAGTCTAGGTAATGTGAGAGATAGACGCGGTAGGCCGTCTACTGACGTCCGAATTACCTTTGCTACTCTTGCTGTGGGAGAGCCCTGACCCGGCTTTGCAGTACTTCGTATCGTCGTCAATGGACAACTTGACCATTCCGAAATGATATCGAAATGCAATGCGACCAGTCGCAGACTCAGTTCATTCCTCGTACGAACCTGTCCGGAAATTAGAGAGCGTTCAGGATTACTCTTGACATGTTGTGGTTGCCGTTTCGTGCCCTTCGTGTTGTTGTATCCCCTCGGCATTTGTGAGGTCATCCGTTCCGCGTGGCCCCTGAGCCATCGCCACATCGAATGAAAATTCTGTGCAGTCGCTATGGTCTGGAGAAGAGACTGACAGTTCTTAGTAGAGCTCATTTCCGCTTCTCTCCAGATAACGATAACGTTGTCATAACGTCGATTTCGAGCCAGCTCTGCTGATGTGGAACGGCTTCAGCAGCAGCGACGGTACCGTAGCTCTCGGGCTGCATAAATAGGCATCAAACATGGAAGTCTCTCCTTTGCAATGCCCAACAGTGATGCGCCGAAATTTTACACATCTGGTGTTGTGAAGATCGAGACTCGGGAGGAATCAACAATGTCATCGCGCAACGAACCTCGGCCCAACGCGCAAGATCGACCACCAAACGCGTCGAAACGCGCAACGCTTGAAAATTAGTCTTGCGTTGGTCTCGACCATTCTATGAGAGAATGTCGACTTCATCACCGGCTTCACAATCGCTCTCTAGGCTCGTAGGGAGCCGCTTGCGCCAGATCTTCGAATTTCTTCACACAGTCTGGCTCCTTGGTACTGGCCTCATTCTTCTTGAAATCCGAGACGCTGTCACAACTCTTGGGATGGGTGTCACATTCGATCCCGCCAAAGACATTGGCAGTCTGGCGGGCAAAGTTATCCTGGTGACTGGCGGTACACAAGCCCCATGTCTCTGCGTATGCCCACACTCGACTGACAGACTCAGGCAACGCTGGACTGGGCAAGCAAACCATCACATACCTTGCCGCTCACAAACCAGCACGTATCTACCTCGCCGCGCGCAACGCGTCGAAAGCGTCCTCCGCCATTTACGACATCAGGGCTGCCGTATCCAATGCCTGTGAAATCATCCACCTGCCCCTCGACCTTACGTCATTCTCCAGCATCGCAGAAGCGGCTGCGACATTCAACCGCTCGGAAACCCGCCTGGACATCCTAATCAACAATGCAGGCATAATGGCATGCCCCTACTCCACCACAAAAGAAGGGTACGAGATACAGTTCGGAACGAACCACATGGGCCACGCGCTGCTCACTAAGCTCCTGCTGCCCACACTGCTGAAGACGAGCGAGACACACGGTGATGCGCGAGTCGTTACATTGAGCAGTGCAGGCCATGCAATCGGGGTACCAGGGGGCCTCATTCTGGACCAGCAAAAGCTCGAGCAACAAGGAACGTGGAAGCGGTACGGACAGTCAAAGTTGTGCAACCTGCTATTTGCACGCGAGTTAAGTGAGCGGTACCCGCAGATCACGTCTGTCAGTCTGCATCCTGGTGTGATTCTCACCGACCTGTTCCAGTCGCTGCAGGCGAACGTGTTTTTGAAGGCGGGACTGTTTATCTACGGACTGTTTTTCTTCCTGATTCCTGGACACTACAAGAGTACGGAGGGCGGTGCGTTGAACCAGACATGGGCTGCCACTGCGCGGAAGGAAGACTTGGTGAACGGAACGTATTACAAGCCCGTCGGGGTGAAGAGCGAGGGGAGCAAGGCGGCAAGGGATACAGGGTTGCAGAAGAAGCTTTGGGAATACACCGAGGCGGCGTTGAGCACCCATGGATATTAGGAGCGAGCAGAGCGAAAAGTCGATGGCAACTGTCATGACCAGTCACGCCCTGCTGGAGGAGGTACGCAGAGTGTGCAGCTCCACGTGGCGCCTCGCGACGAACCCATCAGGGCGTTTGCCGCAAAACAAAGTGGTTACCTTGCAGCATTTGCGCAAAATCTGGGCTTGCCTGAAACCCGCCTATTGCCAATTCTGCTGAGCAGGTTGCGTTGATCTTCTTTTACTGTCGCAATTTTCAAAATCTTAAGCAGAGGCTGCTAATCAGGTCCGGCCACATACTACAGCATGTAAGCCTTGTGACGGCTAAGTATTCTAATTAAGGGCTGCAGCTTGCATATAACCCCCGCACCGGTGAATGAGCATGCTGTCTGGTCAGGTTTCTAAACACTAGGGGACATGCAGTATCATTCGCCGCCCGCTTTACAGCACTCCCTCCGTTCTCTATCCACCCCAATAACGCATTAGTTATGATCTCAGACAACATTTCTTGCCTTATCGTCTGGGGGGAACCTGGATTGATCTCGCTTATTGGCGCCTGATGACTATCAATTCCAGGCATAGTATAACGTGGTCCACCACCGAGCGGATCACCCCACCGAGCGAATCACCAAATGCAACTATATATCTTTGAACGTGAATAACTCAACACAACAACAAGATATAATAGTGCGTAATAGCTTGAATTAATCGCCTATCTCTACTGTATCTTTCTTGCATGTACGCTTGTTGTGTCCTGTGTTGCCACACCTCCTGCAGCGCGGAATACCCCTGCTGCTAGCACCTGCCTGCACTCTCCCCTCGCGCCTCTCTACTTCAAGTTGAACCTCAGCATCCTTTTGGGTAACTATTACCCCTGCTTCTACCTGTGATAGAGTCCCCCCCTTCTGTATTCGCTTCTTCTTACGCTTTTTACGCTCAGAAGCAGCCTGATTTGCTTGCTCAAGACTATCTATCCTAGCTTCAAGCAACGTGTGTGAGTGTACCTTCAAAGTTAACCCCTTTTTAACCTGCAGCACTATCTTAAGAATAGACTTAGGTGAGGAACTCCTATGGTCCCTTATCCTCTTGAGAATCAGCGTTGTTTGAGCCTCTATTTCCCAGGCGTTGCTTGTTGTTTTGGGCTGCCAAGGGGTACTCCTGGGTAAAGGTGGTGTTGGTGTACGAGGCTTCACTTCAAGCCTTGATAGCACCACCTCTGGGTTATCCGGAACTAAGCCAGTTGCTCTGAAGCTTGATAGGATATTGTCCTTTAAGAAGGCCTGGTCAAATACTAGGGTAAGTGCAGCTAGGAAGGCTTTCTTGTCAATGTGGTTGATATGGCAGTTTGCCAAGACTCAGGTCTCCTCCTTGTACGCACGCTTTAGGGGGGCAAAGCAACCCACATCAAGCGGCTGAAGGATGTGTGAGGTGTGAGGGGGCATACAGAGGGTGATGATATTGTTCTCCTCACAAAGATCCTGGAAGGCGAGTGACTTGTGGCTCTTGTGGCCATCAAGAATCAGTAGTCTGTAACCACCTACTTTCTTAACCTCCGTGTGCTTGATAAAGTGCTGTAGCCAGGCAAGCCCAAGCTCATTTGTTGTCCATCCATTATCACTAATCCCTATTCTCCAATCCTGAGGGTTATGATACCAGGCCTGGTCGTGGTTCTTAGCTTTGAAGATGATGAAGGGTGGGATAACCCACCCTGTGGCGTTGATGGTGGCAATCAACGTCACCCACTCCCTGTTACCAGGCTGAACCCTAAGTGGCTTAAGGCGCCTCTCAGAGGCTGTGACTACCTTCACAGACCCCCCAACGCCTATCTGGAAGCCAGTCTCATCAAAGTTGTACGTGTCTTGATCTAGGATACCATACTTGGCTTTGACGTTGCGTACAAGGTTGAACCAGGGGCTGATAATAGCTGGATTACTGCAGAGGACTCGCTGGTGATCACGGAGTCGAGTCACCTGAGATTTGACCTCAGGCCGGCGTTGGATCAGCCTATAGGCCCAGTTCTCCCCAACCTGGCCACTACTACGCTTAGCTAGTAGCTGGTCAGCCATTCCACGTACGTGGCTAAGCGTAGGGGCAAAGCCTCTAGCGTCAAGCTTCCTTATGTATTGTATAACTGCCTCCTCTTCATGCTTCTGAAGCTTAGATGAGTTAGGGTGGGTATCGCGTCGTGGGGTTCTTCCAGCGCCTTGATGGCTAAGTGTACTTTGAGGAACCCTGTAGATAGCAGCAGCGTGTCGCTGGCTTAGTGACGCGTTAGATTTTATTGCTTGGGTAGCAAGTATAACTCTATCTGCACAGGAAAGTAATTCAAGATCAGGTTGTTGAGCCATTGTAATTAATAGTAGAAAGCGTTGTGGTCTTGGCAGAGTGATTCGCTCGGTGGTGGACCACGTTAATACACTTGTTTATACATTTGCCCTTGATACCACAACAATAAGCAATATAGCAACGCAGGAATAGGGAATAGCAATGCAACTATTAATCCATCTACACTTTAGATTATTGCCTTTGTCTGAATAGTTAGCAGCTGACGCTATTACAATTTAGGGCCCGTATACGTCCCAACAAATCTGTGTAGCTCATGTAAGTACCTCTTAAGTTCCCGCACTGCCAGTCCATCCTCAAGCGACGACAGCTCTTAGTAACAGCAAATATCCAATAATTTGACGTAATAACAGGCTCATCATATCCTCCCAGAGATCCAGATTAGTATGTTTTAAGGGAATCTACCTGCAAGATCAAGAAACCTACCGCCTCAGCTGAAATGCAGCAACAGTTCTTAGTCACAGCCATGCCCAATGGTTCGACGCTGACCTCAGCCTCAGCTGAAATGCAGCAACAGTTCTTAGTCACAGCCATGCCCAATGGTTCGACGCTGACCTCAGCCTCAGCTGAAATGCAACAACAGCTCTTAGTCATAACTAATACCTAATTGTTTGATGCTACCTAGGTATTCCAGTCTCAGCTAGAATTTTAACGAATCTTCGTCCTTAAAGAAGAGCGACAGAGCCGCTTTAGGATTATTTCTTCTTCAGCTTTACACCAACTTAGAGCTGTCCTACTATTTCTCATCAGATTATGGGCATACCACAAGCGCAACTCTATAATCCACTAGATATTGGATCGAAAGACATTCGCCTACTGTCGCTCTCTCCGGGGGCTGATGGTGAAGAACTCATATGCAGCTTATCTCAGTATTCCCTACCAAATGCGCCGACATACGAAGCGTTGTCATACACATGGCAAAATCCAGCTCATCCAATCGACGAGTCCATCAACCTACAGGAATCTAAATTCAATGTCACGTGGAATTTGCATGAAGCACTTTGTCATCTTCGCACCGAAAACACAACACGAACTCTTTGGATAGATGCAATCTGTATCAATCAAGATGATTTGGACGAGCGTGCACAACAGGTACCATTTATGAAGGACATTTACCGCAACGCAGGCCATGTTGTGGTCTGGCTGGGCGGGTCAACTGAGACAAGCGAGATGGGCATGGCTTGGCTAAAAGGGCTTGAGACCTTCTACAAATACTTTTGTCTCAAAGGTTATACCGAGGAGACGAATGAGAAACCCCTGAGGGAGCTTCTCTCTCGCCGTTGGTGGAGCAGAGTCTGGATAATTCAAGAATTTGGGTTTGCAAAGAGTGCATCGTTCGTTTGTGGAACCGAGAGTATCGACGTCAGCCTAGTGGAGGAAAGTCTGCTCAAAGCTTTGCCAATCTTAGAGGAAGAGAGGCAAGGGCAGGCTATGCCAGAATACCTGTCCCGGCTAATATCATTAGTCGGCACGCGTGCCATGATTCGGGATACAGCTCAGGCTACCGGTCTTGAGGGCTGCCCATTCCTCATTATCGCACAGAAACACCTACAAAATGTTCAAGCAGGAGACAATAGAGACAAGGTTTATGCGATACTTGGGCTCAGCGCTGAATTGGGGATTCCAGATGTCAGCATCTCATACGAAAAAAGCGTGGAACCGTACCAGGTGTACGCTCATTTTGTCAAGCGCTGGATCAAGAGATACGCAGACCTTGACATTATTTCACACTGGATTGAACCTCAGGGTCGGATCAATGGACGTGCATCTTGGATCCCTAACTGGACTGGAGAACAGACGGCTCCTAGATGGGATACTGGCACTTCAAATACATGGGGCAGGAATGGAGGGTTTTCGACTTGGACCGTGGGCCAGTACGGAGAAGCTAACTCCGAGAGTTCGTGGTCGAATAGCGGCCACCCAAATTGGAACATCGACGTGGCGAGTGAGATTACGGAACAGCAAGAGAAAGAGTTTATCCGGACCTTTGACTATTGCAAATTTCTGACGTTGGATGGGGCCATCGTTGGAAAGTTATCAAGCACTGAGAACAGAGGGATATCTGCAGACGGCAAAGATAGATACACGACGTACAAAGAGCTTCTTGCTGCCTGGGAGCCGAATGACATCAGGGATGGAACTTATCGTACTGGTGAGGCGAAGGACTCAGTCTTCCTACAAACACTACTTTCTGGTCGTTATATCGACACCAACGTCCTGATGGCGCCCGAGATAGTCTCTGAACTTGTCAATAACTACCGGATCTACATGGGCCGAAATGAAGCGGCTTCAGAAAAGCCACAGGGCTTCTTCGATACGACGCTAAAGATATTATTGGATAGGATCCAGACTAGGAGGCTCGTAATCACGGATTCTGGATTCTATGCTCTTGTTCCGCGAACTGCACAGTCAGGAGACACAATTGTTGCTCTGGTAGGGGGAAACGTACCGTTCGTCCTCCGAAAAGTCGTTCGCAACGCTGGATCTATGTCGAACGAAGACGCACAAGCTCCCAACCAACCATCAGACCTGGCAGATACCGAGCCAGCCAGTACCATTTCTGAAGCGACGACTCTATTGTGTGAAGAACAGTCAACTGATGATCTCTTCTCCGAAATCAACGGGCCTGCTTACGCGGGCACTTCGCGAGGACCTGGATACCCTGTGCTGCGCAATCAAGAGATAGATCCGGCTGGCGTTGACGAGAATGGCGGTGTCGGTGTATGCTCAGAATTCTACTCGCCACAAAAAGTCACTGATGGAAACTTCCAAGATCCGACCTGGGAAATTGTTGGTACTGCGTACGTGCACGGCGTGATGAATGGAGAGCTAAAGGCTGCGTATGAGCAAGGCGAGGCGTCGTTGCAAACGTATATTATCGCCTGATAGTTCCAAGTCCTCTATTCTATATTGCTTTATCACTATGCCTTTCGTACATCAAATTTACTGAACATTCCCTGCCGGTTCACTGTCTTGAAAGATAGATTTAGTGTCGCTTTTCCGGCGGTCCGAGGAGCCTATTTGGTGCGACTCTACACTCAAACACGAATGATTCAGTAATGCAAATAGGACGAGTGTGAAGTAGCTTATCTTATGGATTTTTGGTTTAGGGGCTGTGGAAGAGAGGTAAAGCACAACAGAGGTGTGGCAACTTAGAGAGGTACTTACAGATGGACTGCGCACGAGGATCTACAGCGCACCTGATGTCATGCTCGAACATACGCGTCGAGAGCGAACAGCGGTCATACTCCCTCTTGGTCATGTGCTTCTTGAGATGGTAACAGTATTTCTTCAAGAATCTCTGCCTGCCTTCGCTCTCCTCCAGGAATGGAGAGGTCTCGCGTTCCGCCCGTACCATGCCAGCCCCGACAAAGTCATAAAATGGACCGAGCGTCTTGAGCAGATCTTCGACAGCAGAGCGCAAGGATTGTCCGTCTCGAGAAATTGGATGTTGTTGCCTCTGTTACTGCCGCGATCCGCCGCCCGGCAACGTCCAACGGCTATGGAACTTGTTCCACAATTATCGTTCATCTCTTTCAGGGACATCGCTGAAAGAAACCCATGCTGCAAGAACGCAACGTCGATGGTTGAGCACCGTGTACCATACAATGGCCTGCGGGACTACAATATCAGCTTAGCAAGAGAGGACTTGATGGTTCTAGTGGTCTTTGCGTAGCGACTGCTGCGGTAACGAGGACTCACTTCTTGGTACCATATATCAATCTGTTTCACCTCAGCATCACAGTCAATTTGCCCTTGCAGCATCACCGAGTCGCCCTCGCAGCTGGGCGACGTTGGTTAAACCCAGCTGGTACTGGAATTGGCTTATCGATGCAGGGGTACTGCTCTATATTCATATCCTCGATTCGTGCAAACAATTTAATGCGCCTTGAACAGTCGTACTCAGTGATAGGTTAGAGTCTCGGTATACCTAGACACGGCAAGGTGCATATCTTCTCAAGTCATGGGCCGGGACGGCTTCTCAACTAATCTTCCGTAGAGTAGTGGCGAAGCGGCCACAAACACGTGAAGGTCTGGTTGAACAAAGACAATTTTGGGAAAGGGGTCATGACTCTCGATTGTGTCGACGATCTTGACACATTTGCTGACCAAACAATAGACGGTTGAAAACGAACACTGCTTGAACATTCACCTACTCGGCAGAACAGCTGTATCATTCTCACCACACACGACAGGAAGAATGGAATCCATTTGGTCAAGACAAACCCTACTCTCATTGAAGAGTTCAGCCCTGAAAACTCACGAAAATTGGAACCAAGCGCCATCCTGGGCAAACAGCTTTTCAACATCGATACGAAGGCGACAGAGTTAATCTGGATACTCGAATGTCACCCACTGGCTATAGTTCGGACAGCGTCTCACATCAGCCCGAACCAGAAACCGCTCTCAGAACATGTGGGCCTTTACACGGAAAGCGCTGACATGTAGATTGATCTTCAAGGTACAGCTTTCTCGCAATGACAAGGTACAGCCCTCTCGCAATGACAAGATACAGCCCTCTCGCAATGACAAGGTACAGCGTAGTTGCACCTGTCATTTCCGTTTAGCTGATGACTTTCGAAGCCACACAACGTATAGAAGCACTCGCTGCAGAATTCCTGTTTTTCGGTTGTTGCTTGATGAACATCTATCCCGAGGTGTCAGCATCCAAAAGCCACCGGAGTGAGCGCGGGTACGCCATCAACGCACACGGCGCATCGTGAGCGCACTCCTTAATCACCATGCGAATAGACGGGAAGTCCTTTGATGCGCACAGAGAAGTAGATCAGGCTGGTCGCTACTGGGTCAGTGACAGGAGCAGGAAAGAACCAACCAACTAGACTACCAAGGCTGCTGTCCGTCTTGAGGCAATCGTACCGCAGGTCTCCCATGGCGCAAAGGCCACAGCTTTCATATTGTTGCGTCATCCTCTTCGTATCCTCGAATCAGAGTATCGGACGTGATCTGATCCAAGTGCTGAGCATAGTCTGCATTGCAAAGCTGTGTGGTACCTCAATACCAGGGGCGAATACTCTCATTCGCGAATGATGGCAAGAAATGATGTAAAATCGAAAGATTCTTCGATCAATACCAACAATCGTCATCAGTTCGTTGTTCTCGGCATCCAAATCCAAAAACCGTGCTTATTTCTTTGCAGCCAAGGACTCTCCAATGGCTTCGAATCAGGCACGATTTCGCAGACGGCGTCAGCATCAAAGGGGCGGCCCAGATAATCCGCTTCAGCGGAGAATTGAACACCGGGACGCCCTTGGATTCGTCGGCTGAGCAGTTTGTCGCTCGCAGGGCCGTGGCTTCGGAAGCCCAGATTGCAGTGATTTCGCGCCTTCTGCAAAAGTACACCAAACTTTTGTTGATGTCGCTCTGCGGACTGCATGAAATCGTCTCCGTGGATGTTGTCCCTTTCGTTCCTCCAGACGGTGACGCTGTGCGCCAGAGCTGAAATATAGTCGAATTGGGCAGCGGCTGTGCTGTCCGAAAAGTAGAAGATGCGGTGCATCAAAAGTCCGTGGATGTCATCGCTGATGAGTGGAGTAAGCTACGCTCCATACTCGGGCAACACGCCTGGCACACGGCCGTTGTAGAGATCCAGGGCCAGCATGGTAAGCGCCACGATATCAGCCGCCTCCCAATGGTCTGAGAATGCCGGGTTGAGGAGGGCTGTGCCGCGCGCGTTCAGGATTGAAATCATGATTTTGTTCTGCAGCAGTGGCATCTTGGTACACTCGGTCCCCATGGGAGGAACAATGTCGGAGAAGCGGCGGATATTCATCGTATATCCCGCAAGCATGCCTTCGAACGATGTCGCATCGAGCTTGCCGATAAGGAAGTCGTGGTAATGGACATGGAACCAGACCACCAATTTGTCAAGCATGCTATCAAGTCTCAGCGGAAGCCCAGCGACCGAAGAACCGAGCGTCTCGACTTACTTATCGACGCGTGCTACAAACGCCCCGCCAGTCATGAGATTGCCGACCCCATACAGCGTGTGGAGTATCTCCGCAAACATGTCCATCTGCTCTGGAAAAATCCCTTTGTCGAGCTGCAGTATTCTCCGATGCGCGTGCATGACGTCGTACAGGATATCACCATTCGATTGGACGGCCTCGGAGAACCCTTCCGTTATCTGGTACTGGTGTCCGAAATACTCCAGAATGGGGCCCCGGGCGTGCATCTTTTCCTCTTCGACCGTGGCCTCGGATAGCACAAGCGGAACCGAGGACAAAGGCGATTGCGGCGCCTGATCCGTATCGTCGCCCATGGTGAGTGTTGTGGATGTAGGGCTGTTTAGCTATGGATGAGTTCGATGTGTGAGATGAGGCTGTTGTGGTGAGGCGGAGGGAGGGCAAAACAGTGGCTAGTGGTAAATCAATTGAGGCGGTAAATCAATTGAGGCGGCAAATCAATTGAGGCGGCAAGTCAATTGAGGCAGTCACAGCACGCAGACCTCACGTCACAAAGCACACGACCAACACACGAAGAAGCCAACATCAAAGACAAGAATCTGATGAGAAAGGCCAGCCAACATCAAAGACAAGAATCTGATGAGAAAGGCCAGCCAACATCAAAGACAAGAATCTGATGAGAAAAGCCAGCCAGCATCAAAGACAAGAATCTGATGAGAAAAGCCAACCAACGCATCGTACATACATGACCAAACACCCAAACACCACGCTATGCAAATCCGCATCAAGCCACCTAAACATCCCTCAAACTGCCCTCAACAGGCCGCCTCGCAACCCCCGCATACTGCTGTCCCTGCGGCGCACCCTGCGGCTGAAATGCCTGGTACGACTGCTGCCCCGGATACGCACCGGGCGTGGCGGTCGCGCTCCTGTCGGGCACGGGGTCGTAGGCTGCGTTTCCGGCGCCAGCGGCGCGGCCGTAGCCGGGCGTGTTGCTCCGGGGTTGGTCGTACGGCTGCACTGGCGCGGGGGCGTAGGCGTACGGGTTCGGGAGCGCAGTTGTGTGGTAGCTCGGAGGCGCAGGGGAGTTGTAGCGCTCCGAGGGCGCGGTGTAGGGGGATTGCTGGGCGGGGATGGTGTAGGGCTGCGTGTAGGGTTGAGTGTAGGGTTGGTCGTAAGCTTGGCTGTGAGGCTGGTCGTAAGCTTGGCTGTGAGGCTGGTCGTAAGCTTGGCTGTGAGGCTGGTCGTAAGGCTGGCTGTGAGGCTGGTTGTAAGGCTGGCTGTGAGGCTGGTTGTAAGGCTGGTCCTGCACGGGGGAGCGGCGGTCGTAGGGGCTCGAGACCTGGCTGTACTCGCTGTAGGAATGCGCTGGTGAGGGGCCGCGGGGGGTCTTGTCCTGTGCATAGCCAGCGGCGGCATTCGCGCCGTATGCTTGCGACGAGGCCTGGCTCTGCGCTGGCGAGCCTCTGCGGTCGTACTGGTTCTGGTAGGTCGCTGGAAAGCCGCGTCCGTCTGTGCCCTGCGCGGGCGAGATTGGACTCCTTCCTGGGCCGGGTGATGATCGCATTCCTGCTCCCGCTGCGCCTGCGGCTGCGCCTGCTACGGATGTGTTCGGCACGCTGCCGCTGTAGTTGAGCCTGTCCATCTCGACATCGCCCCGCTTTTCTGGCACAGCTTCGTCCTCGACTTCGACGTGCCTGCTGCGCGCATCGTTCCAGCTGGGCATGGCGGGTAGCGCGTCCTCGTTCGCGGGCTTGCCGTGTGCGTCAAAGGTCGCATACTGGGCCTGCTCGGGCGATGCCGGGCGAACGAACTTTGGGTTGACTTGCGGATTGAAGTGAGGGTTGCTGGGCTGGCGAGCCAGCACGGGCGTGGCATGCGACTGGTACTGCGTGTTGAGCTGCGGCGGCGGCGGCGGCGGAGGCGCGAACGAGCGGGCTTCCGCGTATGGGTTCGGCGAGGCGTACGGCTGCTGGGGATGTGGCTGTGGTGGCGGGTAGCTTTGGGTGTCGCTCTTCATGCGCTTGTGGCCCGAGTCACTGCTCCCACAGCAGCAGGTGCAGCACTTGCAGCAGCAGATGGCGCACTCGGCACCGCAGCAGATGCAGCGCGCGATGCAGAAGACTACGCTAAAGGCGATGATGCCGCCCACGACAATGGCGACTATGACTGGCCATCTACACGGCGTAAGCGACTGGACGGCAGGCGGGACAGCTCCTGACTGACTTGCAGTAGTCCTTGGCCATGCAGTTGTCCCACGATGACAGCGTCTGCTTTGCGTCTGCGAACGGGTCGCGGGGCGCGAGGGTGAAGCCGGGCTGCATGGTGTGCAACGGCCGTGTTGGTGTGCAACGGCCGTGTTGGTGTGCAACGGCCGTGTTGGTTTGTATACTTGGTACGGAGCCAGCCCGCGGTTCGTCGAGGCCGTTGTGCTTGACGTGCTGGATCCAGGGCAAGTGTGTTCAGTTCATTGTGGCACCATGAGGTCAGTCTGTAAACGGCGAAACGTGAAACGAGGGTGGGAAGTCGTGCAGCCGGGGGGCGCCCCTCGAATTGAACAGCCTCGAATGGAGCAGCCCCGAGTTGAACAGCCTCGAATTGAACGGCGCGGCGGCGGACCTGAATGACGGGCGAAAGCAAGGATCACGTTGATCAAGATCAAACGCGTGCCGCACCACCGAGCACGGGCTGGGTTGAAGACGCCAGGGGCTGTCCGGCCCAGATGGTTGGTCGTTCGGTCAAGGCCGCCGAGGAATGTTGCGTGGCGCGAGGCGCAGCACTGGCGGGAGCATGTCGCGCGAACACGATGCCCGACGAGATTCCTGCGAGGCTACGCGTACTCGCATAGACGAGCGCCGCACATTGTCCAAGGCAGAATCAGGGGTAAGGCGGCCGACGCCCGCGGAGCCACATTCCAGCCTTGCCGTGCGCCAGGTAGATGACGAACACCATACCTTCCATCCTGACGTGACGCGCCAGCATTCGAGTGCATATCTCGGGCGCGCGGTGCCGGCGCGAGGACATTGATATGGTAGCACGCGCTCGATTGCAGGAATTGCGCGAGTCAGGCAAGCTGTCTATGCTCGGTCGCTGCGCTACGCTACAATACAAAGTACACCATCCAGGTCGCTTTGCTCCCACACTCTGTAAACAAGAAAAACTCTGTAAACAAGAAAAACTCTGTAAACAAGAAACACTCTGTATACAAGAAAAACTCTGTAGGCAAGAATAACTCTGTATGCAAGAATAACTCTGTAAACAAGAAAAACTCTGTAAACAAGAAAAACTCTGTAGACAAGAAAAACTCTGTAAACAAGAAAAACTCTGTAGACAAGAAAAACTCTGTATACAAGAGAAACACCGCAACGCCAGCGACGGTCATGTGTGGTATCATGTAAAATCCAATGCGAGAAACAAGCCGTGCCATGCAAAGCAGCGAGGAGGAGCAGGCGTACCACCCCCCTCGACCATGTCTGAAATCAAACGTGGTGTAAAGTGTGCCGTGTGATGCCACACGCAGCAAGCGTCGCTACCGCTTCTCCAGCCACTTCGCAAAGCGGCCCTTCTCGTTTGCGCCCGTGGCCTCCAGATACGTGCTGCGCTCGTAAAGTTCCTAGCTCCGTTAGCCGCGCCCCGTGCCGTCAAAGACAAGCAGACTTACATCGTCGTCCTTTGAGATCTTGACATCCAGGATCAGACTGCGGACTTCCTCGCACTTTTGCCACGCCGGGTACGGCGTCCCCTGCGCGCGCTGTATGCCCACAATGACATCGCCCATGATGTCAAACTTGCGCCAGTTGATGCGCTCTTTGCCCACGACGCCGCCGGGGGGCGCTTCTTTGCCGTCGCGACTGCCCGTTGCGCCGGCAAAGACGCTGGTGCCCGGGTGCGGGCTGAAGCTGGGCGCTGTCGGCCTTGTCCCGACAAAGGTCGCGCTGCCTTCTGACGCGGAGACGAGGTCGCGGCGGTAGAGGGGGAGGTAGGGTATGCGTTCGCCCGAGCTGTTCTCCCACGCCAGACGGTACGCAAAGTGGCTCTTCTGGGTGCCCATGAGGATGTCGAGTTTGAGGAAGTCGTGGTTGACGGCCTGCGGGACGAGATCTCTCGTGGCAATCAGGCGGTGCACGGCGGTGCTCTTGACGCCTGCGATGACGGCGCCGAGGGAGTTGTAGTTGTTCAGCTTGCGCACCTGCCGCGCGACGCGCATCCATTTTTCGAGCATGAGCGCACGGTGCTTGGGCTTGTCGCGGAGGAGGATGTAGTTCCCGACGACAAACGCAATGTGGTTGAAATGCGCAGCCATGCGCGTCACATTCTCAAGCTGCCTGCATTGCTTCTTCGCCTCGGCCGAGAGGGAGACGTGGCGGACGAGATCGCGGGGGCGCACCGACGAGAACATGATCCAATCCATGCGGGTCAGTTCTTTGGCAATGACGCTGTCGTCGCAGGCCATGAGCTGGTGCCATTGGCTCTTGGAGAGCGGTCTGAGGGGGTTCGGCTCCAGTTGGCGGGCCAGTCTTTCGTTTCGCTCGACGTGGGTGACGAGCGTCAACGAGGAGCCCAGGGAGCCGCTCGTGGACTTTGACCCGCCGGTCATGCTGCTGCGGGCGACCGACAGTCTGTCTGAGCCCACCGACATGTGTCCCAGGGCCGTCGTGAACGCGTCGTCTTCGTCGTCTTCGTCTAGTGCGGTCTTGTAGAAAGCCGGCAGCTGGTCGTTCTGAGCCCGCTGACGGTCGCTGCACGCCCAGTCCGTGTCGTCGTCTTCGGCGACCATGTCCAGATCGCACATGATCTCCATGGCCGCGACCGAAAACTCGCGATTCGACGACAGTGTCGATGCAAACTTGCGCACGAGCTTGCGGGTCGTGGGGTGGGCAAAGTCGCCGGGATAGTAGGCCACCCATTGATGCAGCACGGCCAGGTATCGCAGCTGCGCAATCACGCGGATCATGGGCAGGTCCTGGTTCTTGACCAGGCCCTCGAAGCGCTTCAGGATTGCTTCGAGCAGCTGGCTCGGCGTGCTGAACCGCCGATACAGGGCAAGAAACACCGCGACGAACCTGGTGTCGTTCTTGGACATGGGCTGCGCCAGCAGGCGGTCGACGAGCTGGTCAAACGTGTATCCGTTCTCGTCGGACGGCTGCATCGTCATGATGCTGCGCGCCGTGTCCGAGCCGTCGCCCGAGTCTTCCGAGTCGTAGCCGGGGGACTCGTCGTGGAAGAAGGTCTTGTCGACATCGCTCGGCTTGTAGCGGTGGCTGCGTCCGGCCAGCGATCCCTTGCGCGAGTAGTGCGAGGACATTTCGGAGCTCGCGCGCTCGTGCTTCTTGGGCCAGGCGTCCTTTTGCGTCATCGACAGAACGGCCGACGAGTTGGCCCGCCGCCGGGACGACGCCTGCGAGCGGGGACGGCGGTCCGAGATGGCCGCGCGGATGACCACGGACAGACACGAGCGGTGCGTCTCGGGCGCCGACTCGGAGGTGCTGAAGACGCTGACGTCACCGAGAAACGACTTGGCCTTTTGCTCCACCACGGCGGGGTCGACTTCGCGGTGGGCCGGGTGCTGGTCGCACTTGCAGGCGACGAGGACGAACGGCAGACGTGACTTGGCGAAGCTGCCCAGGAGCTCCGGCACGCGAGCCAGGCTGCCCTGGCTGGTGACGTCGTACAGAGTGATGGCGCCGTCGATGCGGGGGGTGGCCATGTCGTGCGTCGTGTCGGGCCACTGGACGCGGTGGCGGTCGCCGATGCGCACGTCGTTGGTGGACATTTCGAGGAAGCGCACCAGGTACGGCGTGCCGTCAATCGTCCAGCGACGGCTGCACTGTGCGGCGGCCGTCGCGTCGGGCAGGTCCAGCGCGCGGCGGATAAAGGTCGACTTTCCTGCGCCGCGCGCGCCCAGCACCGCAAATGTGAGGTCCGACAGCACAGGCGCGTCGTCGCTGCTGGCCGAGCCCGCGCCGTCGCCGTCGCCGTCGCCGCCCGCGCGCTGCTGGCGGCGCGTGGGGCTCAGCGGGCCCTCGGTGTCGGACGTGTCGCTCTCGGCGGGCTCTTCGGCGGCACCGGCGACGGCCGGGGGGAAGTGATAGCGCTGGAAGAAGCTGTCGTTGGCGATCTCGTCGCCGTCGCCGGGCGTCTCGTCGGCTGTGTCTTCGGTTGTGTCGGTTGTGTCGTCGGCGGGCCACAGGGGCGCCGAGTGCGCACGCGACTTGAGCCCCGGACGCGCCAGCTGCATCGACTGCGCGCTGCGTGCCTTCTCTGCGCGGCTGGCCATGGCTCAGACGTCAGACGTCAGACGTCAGACTTCAGACGTCAGACCTCAGACCTCAGACTTCAGACCTCAGACTTCAGACTTCAGACTTCAGACTTCAGACTTCAGACTTCAGACTTCAGACCTCAGACCTCAGACCTCAGACCCCAGACCCCAGACGTCAGACCCCAGACTTCAGGCCTCAGGCTTCAGCGTGTGCGACGGCGAGTGACGGCCCCCCAAGCAGCGTGGCAGGCGCTCGGCTGCCAGACATTGGGCGGTGCGCGGCGCGTCTCAGGGGCGGGGAGCGCGCGGAGCGAGCGTGGCAGCAGGGGCGGGGAGGGTGTCGACGTGTGTCGCGCGTGGAGAGCAGCGGTGTTGTTGCCGTCTTGTCAGCCCATCGCCGTCGACGACCTGTCGCGGGGCGGCGCTAGCAATAGCTAGCACAAAGTCAATGCACTTCCACTTCCCGCATGCCTGTGCACCCTGTGGGGCGGTTGTAGTGCTTCCTCGACTTTGGACTTGTCCAGAATCACCACCACTGACCATCAGCATGACACCACTGACCATTAGCATGACCCCACTGACCATTAGCATGACCACCACTGACCATCAGCATGACCACCACTGACCATCAGCATGACCACCACTGACCATCTGGATCAAAATCACAAGCCGACTCGGCGCAGTCACATGCGAGCACAGCAGGAGAGTGGACGGCGTCGTACACAAACTTCGATTCGGCCCGACCCCCTCAGACACCTGCCGCTGCACTGCCTGGTCTGCTGCTGTCCGGGGATAGTGTCAATGTCCAACAAAGGATGGTCTGTCATGTTGAGAGATGGTCTGTCATGTTAAGAGATGGTCTGTCATGTTGAGAGATGGTCTGTCACGTCCAGAGATGGTCTGTCATGTCCAGAGATGGTGTAACCACGTGGCTCAGATCACATGATATTCTATTGTAGCAGGCACTGCCCGGTGGGCAAGTGCACTTACCTGAGAGCTGAGAGCTTGAACAACACAACATCACACAACACAACAACAGATAGCAATACACTTGTTGATCACAGTCTCCGACCAACACTGCTCACGCAGTTACAGATGGTCTGTCACTGTTGAGAGATAGTCTGTCTGTAACAGTTGAGAGGAGAAGGAGATCACGTGTTGTTGGCAGTGTTCTGGTGCTGCTTCCTCATGTTGAGTACCTCTTACCTCAGCTGCATCACAAACACGTCATCAAAACAGACTCCGCAGCGAGCCTTGGAGAGAAAAGATACAAGCAGAACAACACAGAGAACAACACAATACACTCGTTATATACATTTGCCCTTGATACCGCAACGCTGTCACTGTCAAGAGATGGTCTCACTGTTAAGGGGTAGTCTGTCACGTCTAGAGATGGTCTGTCACGTCCAAAGATGGTCTGTCACTGTTAAAGGATAGTCTGTAGTGACACTGTTAAGAGATGGTCTGTCACTGTTAAGAGATAATCTGTCATGTCTAGAGATAGTCTGTCACTGTTAAGGGGTAGTCTGTCACGTCTAGAGATAGTCTGTTATGTTGAGAGACAGTCTGTCACGTCTAGAGATGGTCTGTCACTGTTAAGCGATGGTCTGTCACTGTTAAGCGATGGTCTGTCACTGTTAAGTGATGGTCTGTCATGTCTAGAGATGGTCTGTCACGTCCAGAGATAGTCTGTCACGTCCAGAGATGGTCTGTCATGTCCAGAGATGGTCTGTCTACAGCCTGGCGACGCCATGTATCATCCTGAGATCGTCCCTCGTCACCTCGCCAAGACTCCTGCGACCAAGATTGGCCAGGCTCGAGTCGGTGTCCGCCAGCAGACAGCTCAAGACATGTCTCACTCCCTCCTCACCTCCCATAGCCAGTCCGTACACATACGGCCTGCCTACCAAAACTGCCTTGGCACCTAGCGCGACCGCCTTGAGCACGTCTGAGCCTGTCCGGATGCCGCTGTCGAAGAGCACCGTCAGCCCAGAGTCCTTGACCTTCTCGTCCGCGCCAATCTCAGCCAGTGCGTCGAGAGAAGCAATAGCACCATCAAGCTGCCGCCCACCATGGTTGGAAACAATGATGCCGTCCATGCCATGTGAGATGGCACGATGAGCGTCTTCCACCGTCTGAATACCCTGCAACATGTCAACGCTGAGAATCCTGCAACTTCGGCGCCGCTGCTTACCTTCAACACAATTGGTCCACTCCACAGCCGTCGCAGAGTCTGCAGGTCGTTCCAATCCCTGTAGTTCCCGGACGCTACCAAGCTGGTGAAGAACAAGGCCTTCGGGATGATGCTGAGATGGCTGAGCACCCTCGCTGCACCAAACACACTGCCCGGACGTCTGACAACCGACCACAGCTCAGCCAGCTTCTGCCCGCCAGTCCTAGTGTCTTCAGCCTGCTGCTTCTCCCACAACCGCTGGAACACTGGGTCTGAAAAGCCAACCTGACACCCCTGGCCCCAGATGAACGGTAGGTACGACTCATCGAGATCGTTGGGCCGCCAGCCAATCTGGAATGTATCGAGCGTGACAACCAGCACACTGAAGCCATTGGCCTTGGCGCGACTGAGAAGCGAGGCAGTGAACTCGTCGGCCTGCGGCTTCGGCCAGTACAGCTGGTACCAGCGGTCACCGTCCCCGTTCGCTTTGGCGACCTGCTCAATGCTGCGCGTCGCTGCTGTCGAAAGAATCATGGGTACCTGCGCTGCTCTCGCTGCTCTTGCCGTTGCTTCTTCAGCGTCTGCATGCACAATCTCCTGCACGCCGATCGGCGCAATCAGGATGGGGCTCTTGTACGTCTTGCCAAAGAGCTCGGTCGACATGTTGCGCCGCGTGGCCTGGACCAGCATGCTCGGCCGCAGTCGATAGCGCTCGAATGCTGAGCGATTGGCTGCGTGCGTGCTCTCACTGCTGGCTGCGCCGGAGACGTAGAGGAAGTTTGGCAGGGGAATCGCCTCGCGGGCTGCTGCCTCCCATTCGTGCGGCTTGGTCGAGTACTTTGGCTTGCGCAGGGAGGCGTAGATTTCTCTTTGGAACGCGACGTAAGATTCAGGATCTGGTTCGTAGTACTGCGTCGTCGAGACGTCCAGGCTGGACTTGTTGGCCATAATGTCTATCGTTGAGTACAGTGATCTGTGGCCGTGATCGACTGCTTCAATACCAGCTCTTCAATCCGTCGCGCAGTCCGTTGTTTGGCGATTGGTGCGTGTTTCAAATGTCGCGGAATGGAAAGTGCACCAGCTGATCGATGAGTTGTTTGCTTCTCCGGTCTGGTGGCGTAGGGCTGTCGTCGAGTCGTGAAAGGCGGAGGTGGAGACAAGCCGAGGCTCATCATTCGGAACCAGTCGTCGATCTTGCCGCTTGACGCGAACCACAAACGCGCTCGATCTACGGGCCCTGCATCGATGGCGTTCCTACGATGCATCATGTCCCGGGGTCTTCGTTGTGTACCGGCATTGACACTATCATGCTCACAATGGTCGTAACCCACTTGGCATCACTTTGGTGACGAGGGCGCGTTCGGAGTAGCAGGCTTCACCGCCTTTTGTTTTACAGTACTCTCAAACACGCGTCAATCATGCACTTCAAAGATGCCGTTGCTCTCGACAGAGGCGTTCAATTAGCAGCTCCGTGGCACAGTAGAGATGAATGCAGCATTAACGCGCGCGCTGCTTGTCCTCGGCGCTGCAGCGACCCTGCTTTCCCTGTATTGGGGCTATACCTCGCGATGCCCCACAACATGTTCTGCAGATGCACAGCGAGGCCACACCGGGTACTTCGAGTACGAATGTGCCGGCAAACCTCACCACTCGAGTTGGAGCAGTTGGTGGCATCCGCAGCGCAACGATGGTAATCCTTCTGAGCGAGGCCAGGGTGCAGGCGCAACAACTAACGACTGGAATATACTCTACCATCTCGGAGGCAACGGACCTTGGGTCGAAAAAGTCATCGATGTCGTCGACACTGGTATCGCTGTGCCCGATGGCTGTCAGGTCGAGCAGATACACATGATGGCTCGACACGCCGAGCGCTACCCCACCAAGACAGCCGGCCGGAACCAAAGAGCAGTCGTTGAGAAGATGAGGAGAAGCGGCATCCAATTCACTGGTAGTCTGGCATTTTTCAACAACTGGGAACTATTCTGGACAGACGATGCCAATCTTGAGCAGCTCACCAGCACCGGCCCCTTCAGCGGACGCCTCGGCTCCTTCACAACAGGCGTCCGTCTACGGACCCGATACCACCATCTCTTTGAACAAGCTCTCACGCGGAACGGCACAACATACTGGGCCAGCGGCTCAAAGCGCGTCATCGAAACCGCCCGCCACTTTGCCCTCGGTTTCTTCGGCCTCGACGCACACACGCAGCTCAAAGTCATCTCGGAGACGAAGCACCATGGCGCAGACACACTGACACCCGGCCGCACGTGTCACGCCAATCAAAACGACGCCCAGGAGGGAAAAGCCAAAGGCTACCGTCTGATGGGCGAGTACCGCACCACATATCTGCCCGCCATCGCCGCTCGGCTGTCCGCGCAGGCCGGCCTCGACTTCACCCCGCAGGACATCTTCTCCATGCAAGAAATGTGCGGCTTCGAGACGACCGTCCGCGGCCGCAGCGATTGGTGCAATGTCTTCACGCAAGACGAGTTCCTCGCCTTCGAGTACGCGCGCGACATCCTGCACTTCTACCGCGCTGGGCCGGGTCAGAGGTACGCCGCGGCCATGGGCTGGCTGTGGCTCAACGCGACGACCAACTTGATGCTCGAGGGTCCGGGAGCAGGGCCGCTCTTCTTCAGCTTGTAAGTATTGTCCTCCAGCTTGAAGAAAGGGGGTGAATGACTGACCAGACGCAGTGTTCACGACGGCGATATCGCGCCGATGATCACTGCTCTCGACGTGATCAACGACGAGCAGCATTTGCCGACTACGCACATCGACCATGGCCGCAAGTGGCGCAAGTCTCAGGTCTCGCCCATGGGGGGGCGGATCATCTTCGAGCTGCTGGCGTGTGATGCGAGTAGCGGTGCCTCTGACGGGCGATATGTCCGCGTCAATATCAACGACGGCATCACGGCGCTTCCTGACTGCCAGAGCGGACCGGGAAAGAGCTGTGCGCTGGAAGACTTTGCTGCGAGGACGAAGAGGAGAGGCGAGGAAGCGGGTGATTTCGCAGAGTTGTGTGGACTCGATGAGGGTGCCGCGGATCGAATTGCCTTCTTACACCAGTAAGATTGCGGCGATTGTTGACAAGTGCCTAGCACCTCATGTTGCTGCATATGCAATCTTGAGCATCCGTAGCTCACTTTGACAAAGAGCCAGATGTCAGGAGGAGCTTAGATACACTGTGGCGCCTAGACAAGCAGGGTGCACAGCACTGAAGCACTGCCTTAAGTTGCTGCGCGTGTGAGCTTTTGTTTTGCTCACATTAATCTTTGTCTCTTGCTAGTGCGCGCGTCCTCATTACTTTCCGGTCCCTCGGAACGAGTTAAGTTTCTGGCCTGCTCCTGCAACGCAAGCATTTGGCGATAGTGTTGGTGACAAGCGCGGGTCGTCGGGTGGTTTTCTCCAAGAACAGCGTCGTATCCAGCGCATGCTTGCTTGTACAGATTGCTGGAGTCATCGTAGCGAAGCATCTGTGCAAGAACGTGAGCAAAGCTATACATGCTT